GATTTACGAAACTGAGGTCTATTGATAACTGTCGATTAAGCACCTAATTAGGAAAATTTTCTTCTGGATAAACAGTCGTCGCAAACGTACTCTAAAATAGGGAACCGGTTACGTAGGATAAAATATGTTTGATTTGGCAATATTAGTGTATGACAGTGGTCTATAAGTTATTACTTATTAAATCAAATTGAAATATGAGAAAAATATAGGCAGATCATAAAGACTTATCATTGAGAGTTTGAGGCAAGTGGGGTAGAATCTTCTGCATATGATCATGTGCAGCCTTCTTCGTCATCCTGAATCGCGACAGAAATTCGCTCTCTGCCGTCGCAAGAATGGATCCATGCGGTCGACCGCAGGTCTTGCAGATGAAGAATGATTCCAAATATTGAATTAAGTTTGTATAGTAAACATGCTACACTAGTCATCTTGTTAGTGGTTATAACATTTATTCAATTACATGGTGCAGTTTCTTAATTCCACGGTGCATGATGACTTTCGCCCGAAAAGTAGAATATTTAATTGTAAAACATAGGGAGTTCTCTTGAAATACTAACATATAGTACTCTTAAAATAGAAAATCTGTAAACTTTCAAAATCTGGCAATAGAAATTGAATGCAGTAAACAGTAAATTTTAAGTGCACAAAGCTTTATGAAACTTATCGTTCAGCGACTTGGGATTATCGCAAAATAATATAAAGCTACTTATGTAATGATATTTTTAAAAATTTCATGGCCATCTCGGCCAGGCTCTTTTCCTCTCTGTGGCACTCGTCTTGGCCCTCGCCCTATGGCCTGTACAGCAGCGAGGTCTTGGCACAGCCTGCCCTTCGGCCGGAGTCGTCCACTGCGGGCGCGCTTCCTCAGAGGAAACTGGTACCGGGTGGGCTGCCTGCTGGTAACGATAAGGATAAGTCTGATATGCGAAGCTCAGCCCGGCCTGTGTCGACTAATGTCGACTTGCTAACAGTGCGTCAGCTGGTGCTGACTCGGCTTAGTCCTTACCCGCCGTGGTGCCCAGCCACAGCTGTAACCTAGAGGCGACAATTGCAACTTCTCGCGCCTGGGCGGGGCGAAAGTGGTCACGAGGCACTGATGCTCCAGACACGAGACGGAGGCCGCGCCCTTTGTCTCTCGGGAATTCATGTGCTGCGGGAGAAGCGGGTTCTCCGCGTGTGGCACTGGCACCGTTTCGAGCTCCTCCACGGAAGGACATGCCCATCGGTATGAAGTTCTGCTCCAGGACCGCGATCTCTTCCAAGTGTTGTATATTGCAAGCTACCAGTCAAGTCTGTATATTGTAACTAGTCTTGGCACCGACTATCACGTGCCCTAAGGTATTATGTAATTTGTCTGTACCGTGTAACCTCAGTAATAAAGAGATCCCCACAAGAGCAACACGCTGTCTCTGTCTCTGCTCAATCCCAGGTATAAAATATAACATGGTGACTCCCAAATGTGATTTTTAATGCAAGGACTTTGCTAAGTAGCCTGTGAGATTGTCTGCAAGTGGTTACCGTGACAAACTGGTGGACAATAGGGGAATATTTAGTGAAAAAATACCTTCAAAACACGCTGCTTCGTCGGACCTCCAAAACACGTGTTCCGGGACATTGCATCGGTGATCGCATCAGTCTCTGCAGTCTGAATCGTCAGTGATTCAAGGCTTTCCTAGACCAGTGAATGCAGTGTAAATCCGGACTTTCTAGCGAGTGTTTAAAAAAAAAAAAAAAAAAAAAAAAATATTTTGCTGTGGGTCCAGTGCATCATCATCAGAACTCGGAATCGTTACCACAGTGCTTCTCTGTACTACCGCATTTCTGTGTTTGAGCCGCGGTCGCTGTTCAGCCGGGAAGACGCACTGGATACATAGTCTCTGTAAGCAACCTAAATGCTCAACTAGCCCTCAGGGGACACAGAAATAAATCCAAGATGTCCAAGGTTGATTGGACGTCAAGCAATGCTTACACACAGTTCAAGATGTGGCGAAAGGAAGTTGAGAGAATCATAGGAGGACCCCTAGCTGCTAAAACAGACATTGTGAAAATCAACCATATCTACATATGGGCAGGCGCCCATGCTGAAACACTGATAGAAGCTCGGAAAGCTGAAAATCCAGACACAGAAGTGTCCAAACCAGATAAACTCTTGGATGCCTTCGCTGGATGTCTCACACATTCCACCCAATTCCGAGAAGCACGTGAGGCATTCTACAACATCAAGCAACAAAGTGGAGAAAATACAACGATGTATTACTCCAGAATCATAGCATTGTACCAACAGTCAGAATTCCCAGACGGTTCAGATTTTCTCATCGTTGATAAGCTGATACATGGCTGCACAAATTCTGACAGTAAACGTAAGCTTATGGCTAAGCCAAAGGCTGTTACTGTGAAAGACTGCCTCGACCTTCGTGAAGAGGAAGCTCTGACCCACACAATGCAGAAGCTGCAAGGCACCAGTGTTAATGCAGCATACTCCAAAGATCCGACCAAGCGATCACAGCGAAATGGATCCCGCAAACCTCAGCCTCAACATCAGAAACCTAGCTACAAGCCTAGTTCCAAACCATCAAAAACATGTGTTTACTGCAATGGCGATCCCCACCCCAGGAGTAAGTGTCCAGCTCAAAATTCCAAATGCAATTACTGTGGTAAACAGGGACACTTTGAAAAAGCCTGCATCGGAAAGAAACGTCAGAAATCCAAAAAATCAGTGTATGTCGTTGAAGCCTCAGATGATAGTGACTATAGCTACGACATGAGTTCAGTAAGCGTCTCTGCAGTTGGAACCAATAGTTCAGTACGAGAAGTGTTAACAGATGTGACTTTCCGTGTGCCATTCAAATCATTCAAAATGATTGGCAAAGTGGACACAGGAGCAATGGTGTCATGCATCCCCCTTGAGAAGCTGCCAAGCATCGGTCTCAAGAAGAAGGACATCCAGCCCAGCAGTGATGTTCTGAGAGGTATCTCTGGAACCAGTCTAGAGAGCCTTCTGACCATAAGTGTCAATACAACTTGCAATGATATCACCGCTTCTTCCAATTTCTATGTAACCATACATGGAAAAGAACTGATTCTAGGTATAGGCTTCTGTAAAAGCTTCAACCTTGTCAACATCTCCAACACATGCATCCAACGTCAAATCCAGGTTGAAAACGCAGTTCACGTGACTGATGAATCCACAGTGGATTTCGCACAGCTGCAATCCAAGTGGTCACGGTATCTTCCCCTTGGAAAGAAAACCGGCGATCCCCTTGAGGACCTCAAACTCATCTTCCCCACAGCCTTTGATGGTAAAGTAGGCCTGTTCAAAGGTGAAGCAGTCCTCAAGCTCTCCCCAGATGCTAAGCCAGTCCAACTTGCTCCCAGAGCAGTTCCCCAGAGCCTTCTCCCTGAGCTCAAAAAGCAGTTAGATGAGATGGAGAAGGAAGGCATCATACGTGAATGTCCAGAAACCACAGACTGGGTGCATAATCTCGTGTTACCAGTCAAGAAATCTGGAGGATTAAGGATCTGCCTGGATCCAAGAAACCTCAATAAACACCTGATACGTAACGTCTATTACACCGCGTCTTTCGAAGATGCCCAACACAGCTTCAGGAATGGCAAGCTGTTCTCCACACTGGATGCAAAATGTGGGTATTGGACGAAGAAACTGAGCCCTGAAAGCCAATTAATCACAGCATTTAACACTCCTTTCAAAAAGTACTGTTTTGTGAGGATGCCATTTGGACTTTCAGTCTCATCTGAAATCTTCCAACAGGAAATGGATAACTCTCTGACAGGCATACCCGGAACCTTTCCGTGTGCCGATGATGTCAAAGTGCAAGGATCTGATGAACTCCGTCATGACATCAATCTTCTAGAGACTGTCTACAGAGCTACCAAGGCTGGTCTGAAGTTTAACCCAGCAAAGTGCAACATCAAGAAACCCCGGGTTAGCTACTTTGGTAGGGTGATTACACCATCTGGTGTGGAGCCATGCCCTGATAAAGTGAAAGCTGTCTTGCAGATGCAATCACCCCAAAACAAGCAGGAGCTACTAAGCTTGTTTGGATCCATTAATTTCCTGTCAACTCACATTCCTAATCTGTCCAAGAAAACACAGCTCATGAGAAGCCTCCTCAAGAGTGACACACACTATGTATGGACCAGTGACATGCAAAAGGAATTTGACACTCTCAAATCTGCAGTGAAGAATCACATGGATAACGTCCACTTTGATCCATCAAAGAAAATCTACATCGAAACCGATGCAACCCAGAAGGGACTTGGTATTGTCATGCATCAAGATGGGAAACCAGTCAAGTTCCTAAGCCATTCCCTGACACCAGCAGAGAGCAACTACTCCAACATTGAGCGTGAGCTCTTAGCTGTCCTCGTTGCACGTGAGAAACTTCACAGCTATATCTTTGGTCAGAAAGTGACTATTCATACTGATCACAAACCCTTGGAATCCATCTTCCAAAAGCCAATCAGTCTGGCTCCACCCAGACTACAGCGCATGCTACTCAGGATGACACAGTATGACCTAGATGTGAAATACGTCGGCGCAAAGAAGGTTCTCTTGGCTGACACGCTGTCACAGTTGAGCCACATGGCACCCCGGTCCCAGGATTTGATATACACATAGCTCAGGTTATGTCAATCAAGCCTTCTCGACTAGCCCAGCTCCAGGAAGAGACCAAGGCTGATCCCACCCTCAATGAACTCAAAGAGCTCATCATATCAGGATGGCCTGAAAGCATGAGTGACCTCCCAGAACACCTTCATGCATACTGGTGTTTTCGTGATGAAATGACCATCATGGATGGACTCATCATGAAGTCCAACCGTGTAATTGTGCCTGCGTCAATGAGAAGTGAGACAATAAAACGTCTTTATGAAGGTCATCAAGGCCTCACCACAACCCTTCGACGTGCTTGTACAACAGTGTACTGGTCTAAAATACAGCAGGACATAGCTGATGTCATCAACAAATGCAGTGAATGCCAAATACACGCTAACAAGAAAACCCGTCCCCCTGAGAGACAACTCTCTGCCACTAGGCCTATGGAAGTCATAGCAATTGACTTGCTCCAACTAAATGGAAACTACGGCCTTGTAACAGTTGACTACTATTCATCATTCATCACATATGACGCATTAACATCAGCCTCTACTGGTAGTGTCATAACAGCTCTTAATGGAACATTCCAGAAAATGGGAGCAACAGTAGAAAGAATACTCTCTGATAATGGACCCTGTTTCAAATCAGAAGAATTCAATAAATTCTGCAAGGAACTGGATATCAACCATGACACCTCAAGCCCTTACCACCACCAAGGCAATGGTAAAGCTGAAAGAGCCATCCAAACAGTTAAGAAAATCTTAAAGAAAACAAAATCAAGCGTCCAAATCACTCTGGCTCTTCTAGCATACCATGATACCCCAATTAGTGACAATCTCCCAAGCCCATCAGAACTTCATTTAGGCAGGAGAAGTTCTAGAATCTCACCTGCTCAGCCATCCCAACAGCTGACAGAGTCCCAAAAGAAAATGCTCAGTGACAAACGATCATCACATCTCAGACCACCCAGTGATGTGATCGAGTACATCCCCAAACAGCCGGTATGGTACACTGAGGACGGTACCGCAGAATGGAAACCAGCTGTCATCGACCAAAAAGATGACCATCCAAACTCCTATTGGCTGGTTAATGAAAACAACAGGAGGATAAGGAGGAATGTACATGATATAAAAACCCATCATGTGTCTATGCCTCAAAGTGATCCACCTCAGCCCATTTGGCCTCCTACACCATCCATGGTGAAGCCAATTAATCCCCAGCCTGTCAGCATTCCATCACCAACCAGACAGATTCCCAGGACCCCTGATCCCAATCCCAACACCAATGTGAACATTCCACCAGATGTACATGGACCAGTGAGAGTGCAAGAGAAACAGCAACCCAGTGCAAAAACTCCAAACAAGCACTCTATGACCCCAAAGCAACCTGCACCACAGAAGGTCTAAAGGTCAGGAAGAACCATCAAAAGCACAAAGAATCCAAACTTTAAATATCAAAATGCTAACTACATGTGTCATGCAAACTTTGAGTGAAATATTTTGTAACTGAATTTTAATAGAAAATTTGTAACTTCAAAATTCTAAATTCTAAATTTATATATTTTAAACTACTACGTAGACTATATATTATTTTGGTAAATGGTGTATACTCAAAACTTAATCAATTTCAATGTGTAGCTATTTCTAAAACTGTGATAATCAAAAACTTAATTGGTTCAAAGTATGTTTTGCATATCCATATATTCCAAATTCCTTTTCTTTCTTATTGTGTAACAATATCATATTTAAATATAATTAATATTTATCTAAAAGAGGGGCATGTTGTATATTGCAAGCTACCAGTCAAGTCTGTATATTGTAACTAGTCTAGGCACCGACTATCACGTGGCCTAAGATATTATGTAATTTGTCTGTACCGCGTAACCTCAGTAATAAAGAGATCCCCACAAGAGCAACACGCTGTCTCTGTCTCTGCTCAATCCCAGGTATAAAATATAACACCAAGAAGAGCATAGAACTCGTGGCCGCCTGAATGTCGCTGTTCCAACGCAGATCCTCGAGGGAAGGCATGGAAAGGGCGTTTTGTTATTATTCCATAAACATTAAGGGAATGTATAAAAACATTAACTTTGTAAAGTTTAAATATGATACATATATACCCATATATACACACATATATGCCTATGTATATGAGGCAATGTAATATATGTAATATTACATATGATAAATATATCTTTATAACTCAAGTATATACTTGTGCACACACGCATACGCACACATACGCGCGCAGGCAGGCTCTCTCTCTCTCTCTCTCTCTCTCTCTCTCTCTCTCTCTCTCTCTCTCTCTCTCTCTCTCTCTCTCTCTCTCTCTCTCTCACACACACACACACACACACACACACACACACACACACACACACACACACACACACACACACACACACACACACACACACACACACACACACACAATGATAAAGCGTCTTTATATTCTCCATACTCACACTGCGGTTTTGTGTTCATGTAATGTTCTATAATGGAGAATATAACAAAGTGTTTCCTGTTTATTGAAGAAGTGTTTTGTTACGATGAAAAGAAGTCTCACTTCATTAGTTCGATCACCTGCTACTAGATGGTGCAGCTTCGAGAAGCACTTGCTAATTTGATTTAGCTGCCATACATAGAGCTTTTAAGTATGAGGGGTTTTCTATATCTAAGAAATATGCAAATATCATTGTTAATTGTTCTGTTCAAATTAAGGCGGAATGCCGCCTTACCTCCACAGGTGTTGCCATTTCGATAATTAAAAGAAGTCGCATTTGAAAAACTTTTGCAACCAGTTCTTTGAAAAAAAGGGAAAAAAGAATCATCAAATAGCTTAGTTCGTTTCTAAAAATAGATATTAATACACTTACTGGCTATTTC